GTATGTCTGTGCCAGCGGCTTGCACGCGATTCAGTGACAACTACGACCTGAAGGAGGAACTCGGCAAGTGAGTAGCGTAATTTTACTTACATCCGCGGCGCACGCCGCGTGAACGAGCGAACGAGCGAGCGTGCGAAATCCGCTTACTCCGCTTACTCCGCACTTTACTCTCTTTCTATCGCGCTTTTGCCGTCTAACCAGTTCTCTTTTCCCGTCTTCACTGATAATATTCGCAAGGAAAGAACATAGCGCGCGCGGAGAGAAAGAGAGGAAGACGGGCAAGGTGGGAAGGAGGCGAGTCGTTCCTGCCGGCGCGGCGCGGCGCGATCGACGTCCACAATCGGAGCGACTCCTCGGTTCTTTCTCGTCGGATATTCGCGCGTGCCAACGCGGTTCCGCGCCAACGAGCGCGGGTACAGATCGCGATTCGCGATGCCGATCGCGTATTTCGTATTACGTCCGGAGCATAGCAGACGACGCTGCGCGGTCGGCCATAATTGTTCCCTGCTGTTCCCTGCTGTTCCCTGCGTATGCGGGGTCTCTTATCCGCCTTCCTCCCCCTCTTCGTCCTCTACGGCGTTTGCCGTGTTCCGTCGTTTCTCTTATCATCTCTCCTACTCTCCTCCATGTGCGCGCTCTCCGATCGTGTATGTCACGCCAAGAGTCTCGGTGTCTTTCTCCTCCCTCTCTCCAGTCTCTGTCGCGGTCGCGGGAGACACCCCGCATTGCATTTCATCTATATTTAAGCGCCACGGGCCGTCTGCTCGTGTGGCTCAGCCTCTATATATAAACTATAAAGCGTCACAGGGCGTCCGTTCTTCCTCGCGGCTCGCGGCTCGCCTCCTAATTCTTCTCGCGTCGCGCTGTGCGAGGAGCATCGTGTATACGTTCGCGGATCAGTTACCGCGAATCGATATCGCGTCGTCGCGCCGCTTTTTACCTTCGTTACCCCCTTCCCCCGTATCGCTCCGCTCGCACGCGCGTCCTCTCTTTCCGCCATCTCCTTGTCCATCCGTTTCCCCCTTTCTCGCGCTTCTCCGTTCTCTTCTCCTCCTTCTCTTCGCCATCTCCGTTGCTTTTCTCCACCCTCGTGGCACGAGCGACGGCAGGTGGTTGCATGCTGTTTTATCCCGAAAAGTTACTAGATCCTCCCTCCGCGCGATCTCATTGCGCTTAAATAACTCGTTGAAAAATTATGCGCTACTTTTCCAATACGCGCCAAGCTGAAATTGTTATTTCTATTAAAAATTACGCTTAATTAAGTCCCGTAAAAATGTATATAATTGATAACTTCTAATTAAGAGCTGGGGTAGCTTTATCAAAAGATTAAATATGTATACAGCTGTCAATTTGAATAATTGTGCGATTGTGCGCATATCGCATATTCTCTCTTTTCTCTCTTGAAAGAAATATTCTTTACTGATTTTTCCAATAAGACTTTTTACGTTACATTTAATTTATTTGTTAATCTAATACAGGCTAGCGTTTCCCAACTGTTTATTTCCATCGACTCTTTGCTCTTTGATATTATCGTTTTATGCGGGATGACAAGAAAATCCGATAGAAATAACAAATTAATATTCAAATGCATGCCAATGCATACATCTTTGTAGTTTGTACTTGATATGCGCTTTCTGCTAAAGAGCTATAAGCCAACCAATATTTGCTAATTGAAAGTCATTTCGAAGCAGAGTGTATGTCGGCACTCGCGAATATTCTCATAATTCTTTTTTATCAAAACATGATACTTTATATCTGGCTCGAATTTGTTTTGCAAGAGAACGATGAACCAGCCTATAGCCCGACTTTATTGCATCAACCCTTTTAGGCTAGATTTTTTTATTTTCTGGTTAACTACAATTTGTGATTAAGCTCAACCTGATGATAATGTAAAAATTTTTCTGGCTATCGTTAATCATTAAATTGATGATTTTGTAGTGAGCAACTTTTAAAGTTATCACACTACAAAACTTAGTTTTGTGAATTTAATTATAGCTAGAAAAACACAATTTTTACATCGTCGAGTTAAGTGAGGTTAAGTTTAAACCACAAGTTAATCAAATAACGAAAAACCGAACCTTAATCTCATTATTTTTTTCATCGAATGAAAACTATTTTTATTACATAATACATTTTTTAATAATATTATAACAGTAGTTAAGGAAGAGTTGCCTTAAATTAAACTAGTGCAAAAATATTTTTTTTCGATATACATAGAGACTGGAACATGCTTAGATCACATGCTACATCGGGGAATCGATTGTGTAGCTTGAAATAAGGTGAAAATGATAAAAGTAAGCAAATTTACTAGGTGTTGATCAATGAAATTATATTCTAGCAAATTTGCTCGTTTTGTTTATTTTCATTTGAAGATATATAATCAAATTTTACCCACATTCCAATGATAGTTTTTTTTTTTTCAAAAAAGCTTCTCTCTTTCCACTCATAATGATCGTATTCGTATGTAGAGTGTGTCAGATCGTCGAATATTTTCTCTCACTTATAACAGTAAATAGTTAATATGGCTGTTTCTGTATTAATGAAATATTAATGTATACATATTGTGATTGTGCACACTTAGAATCTCTCAAAAAGTGAAATACGCCATATAGATCGATAAATTATTATGTTTGAAACATATTTTACAATGCTACTTTGTATGTATGTTAATTATTGCAAACTTACGCATCATTAAACTTGGAAGTAACAATTCAAATCGTAAATGTAAGAAAACAGAAAAAATTTGAAAGGAGTCGGCGAAGTGTCTTTTTTCCGTTCTTATGCTTTAATTTAATAGAAACCGTGAGAAGTATGACAATACGCAAAGATTTCTCTCTGCAAGTTCAAAGTATAATATAATTATATTCGCGAAATCTAGCACGGTCGATTTTTCCATTTTATTTATTTTTTCGAACAGAATATATGAAGCAAGCATGTTAAGACCAAATCTCCTGTTTATGTAGAAAATATTTGAGAAAGACTTTATGATACCTATTTGTCTGGCATGCAACAATTGATTACGTGTTCCTTCGTAATAACGCCGGCTGAGCGTGTTGTCATGTGAATGTAGCCACATAAAGTTTGAACGAACGAGATCGACTTTCGCGGATATATGATGTTTGGAGAGTTTGAAAAAAAATGCGAAACAGAAATGTTTCAATCGCGCTATCTCTCGTAATATCATGTTATACTTCGGAGAGGCATTTTTGCGTATTGTAATACTTATCATGGTTTTTATTATCTTTAATAAATTAAAGCATAACTAGAAGAGGAAATAGATATTTTGCTGTCTTTTTCTTAAATTTGACCTATTTTCCTACATAAATGGTCCAAAATCAACATTTTGCAAACATTGGGTTAGCTGATTTGTAGGAATCATGATAATTGTGACACTAATGATGATATAATACAGAAAAAAATTTTTTAAGAATTAATTTTAAGAGGAATTTGAATAGGAAGATGATTATAATTTATTATCTTTTTGATTTTATTTAGATATTTTGTCGTATTATTGACAAATATTTTACGACAAATATTTGCGACGTATTAAAGTGGATACTTAATTTTTTATAAACGCATATAAAACGCAAATATTTGATGATGTTTTGAGAATTTACGGGATTTTCTCATATAAAATGATTTTCCCATCTCGCTTTTCGATGCCATTATTCGTAACTATTTCTTCACATTTCCCGCATGGCAATCATCGTGTCACATTCCCGCGTGCATTTACCGGTGCATCACTCAATTTCAATCGAAGCACCATGGATTTCGCAATCAGCGCTAGTCGTTTTGGAATATTTACCACGATACATGAGAGTGTGCGAAAGAGTAAAATTCCGATACGTTTGTGTAGATACATGTTTGTTCGTACACGTATAATGTATTCACACATGTAATTTTGCAATTTTTCTCAATTGAGATTTATAAAAAGAAAATTAAAATCTCTTATGTATTTAAAATTTAAATATGGAAAGAAATTATGTTTACATGTACGTTATATATTTTAATTATATCACTTTATTATGGAATTATTTTCCGCTTTATAAGTATGTATTTCGCAAAAAATTAAACTGAAATTAATTTTTAACATATTTCTGTGTGAATATTACAATATTAATTTTTAATTATATTATTTTCAACGTAATTTTAGTATACGTATATTCTTAAACTTGTTGAGCTTATTATAGTGTATTAGATTTCGAATGGTTTTATGGTATTGCGCTTTTGTATACGTATACAGAGTCGTTATAAAAAACTATTCAGCATTTATATGTTAGATAGTACACACCATACTGAGCAAGAAAGTCTTAATGAATATACATGAAAAACTCAACCGTTTCTAAAATATAAATAATTTTGTATGTTAGTATCATAACTCTGACTTATTGGCTTCTACGTGTCGTATACGACATGAAGGTTTACCTCAGCGTTTATACAAACCGCGTTCTGAATGTTCTCATTCAATTTCCATACACGGTTTATAATGAAACATTTCACCGGGAATCGATATCAATAAGTTGACATGAAACAGCTATTACGATTGGATGGGCATTATGGGAGATCAGCTCATTGGATCTGTAATTCTCCCAAATAGGCTATCAGTGTGGTATTTCTCTCTTTTCACGTCGTATGCAACACGTAGAAGAGACAATAAGTCAGTTATGATACTAACGTACAAAATTGTTTCTATCTCAGAAACGGTTGAGCTTTCGACCTATATTCCCTATGGCTTTTTTACTCAATATGGTGTATGCTATCTATCTTATAAATGCTCAATGGTTTTTTTTTACGAACACTTTGTATGTATATTAATACGCGCCTCAAGTTGGATCCATTTTATAATACTTTGTACGATTACTATTAACGACTGACGCCACTTGACTTCGACGTGGGATGGATTAGAGTGGGCTTAAGCAAATAAGTGCGAATCAAATACGGATGAATAACTTAATTGTGCTTCACTCGCGACATTTTTTGCACGCATTGAAGCAAATTGTTCATTCATGTTCACGTTCGTTTGCTTAATCCGGATTCGGTTTTACGTAAATGTGTGGCATACATTTA